AATAATTTAATTACATATTAATGCACATTATATTCGCAAGATATTAGAATAAGTCATATTGAGATCTGAATTTTAAAATAAAATTGCAAACTCTCTCTTTCTCTCTCTCTCTCTCTCTCTCTCTCTCTCTCTCTCTCTCAGTATTAATTCTTTATTTAATTCTTTCTGTTAAAGATATATTTGTTGAGATTACTTTTAAGTAAACAATTATTATCAGCGTTAATATTTTCAAACTTTCGAATTTTTTAATATATTATTTATAGAATTATGAAAAATAAAAAATATAATGATATTTCCATGTTCTTCGATAAAAAAAGAAGAAAAAATTACATTACCTTACAATCTCTAAAATACTTTAAGGCTAAAGAGACATTCTTCTTATAGATAAAGTTTGAGAGTTCTGTACGAACAGAAATAACGACTGTAAAAGTTTTAAGTGCTGAATACGCTTGCGCAACTTTTTTCGTGGAAATAATTCTCTCTCAAGTAACTCTTTTTTTATGCGAAATAAAACATCTGCTGAATTTTATTAGTATTAAATCGATCGTATAATAATAGATTTCATGAGAAATATTATTAAAATGTGAGTGTGTTTGATCCCATATCAGTAATCTTGCATATAAACGACATTAGAAAAATTGTGTGAAAATTTATATCAGAAGAGAGAACGTCATATAATATCTATTCGATGAATACAAAAGAAAGAAATAAGTATTTCTTCGATAGCTTATTGTTATTTATATTTTGGAAATCGTAGAGAAATGATCTGTGTTGAGACACAATACTTCAATCTTAATAAAAGTCTTCTACTTGTTGTAGGTTTGTGGCCTTATCAACAAACAAAATTTGTTCGATTTCGATTTATTTTCTTCCTGAGTATTCTTACAACTGCTATTTTATTTCAAGTAAGACAATAGGGGATATCTCCCCTCTTAAATATTATTATTTTGAAATAATCTGTATACTATATTATAATTTATAGTATATCCTTTGTAATTTAATATTGTAATTTATATTTAAAAAATTTATATTAAAAAAATAATTATACATATGTATAATAATTATAT